GCTGATCAACAAACGAGGGAGCAACACTGTGTAATGAGATATTAAAGAAGTAGAGAGAACTCTGTGTTGGCTCCGGACAGGGGGCTTAAATCATGAAATCAAGCTGCTTGAAGTTTTCAAATGTGCTCATCAAGAGAGGTGTGCATTATTGGATTATTGGAGATACTAATATAAGAGGGAGTCAAGCTATTCTCCAAGGTGTCTGAAGGCAGGACAAGAAGCAATGGATGGAAACTAATCAAGGAGAGAAGCAACCTAGAACTAAGGAGAAACTTCCTGACAGTGAGAACAATTAATCGGTGGAACCACCTGCCTCCAGAAGCGGTGAATGCTCCAACACTGGAAGTTTTTAAGAAGAGACTGGACAGCCATTTGTCTGAAATGATATAGGGTTTCCTGCCTGAGCAGGGGGTTGGACTGGATGACTTCCAAGGTCCCTTCCAACTTCATTATTATTATTATTATTATTATTATTATTATTATTATTATTATTATTATTATTATTATTATTATTATTATTATTATTATTATTATTATTATTATTATTATTATTATTATTATTATTATTATTATTATTATATAAGATATTTCTGGAATGCCTTTTAATTCTGCGGTTGGTTCCCCCCCCCTTTTGCAATGCTAACATTTATTGTTTTTAGATTTTGTAACTAGAACAAGCTGGGATGCAAAAATAGGTGAATCAATCAACACAATAGTTTGTTTTCCAGGCAAAAGGTTGCATAACATTCCAGAGGGGGGTGGAAATCTAAACCCAAAAGTTTGCTTCTCCAAATTTGTTACCTGTAAGAATATCGTGGCGGAGGCCTTTGACCGAAATCCGGGCGTTCTTGATTGGGTTTCCAAATTTGTCGGATACAATTCCTTTTATGCCACGATGAACCTGCCCAGAATCAGAAGAAGGTGATTAAGTCGTGATTCTTTTATGTTCCTTCCTCATTTCTCTTCACACCCAGCGTCCACTTGCTACTCTGAGAGGTTGTGTGGGTTTCCCTCTGCTGCCCAACCGATTTAATGACAGAATTCTAGTTCATGAATGCTAAAGCCTTAAGAAATGGCTGTGATATGTTCCCTTGCTGTTTTCAGTAGCAAAAAAAAATGATATGATATAGATCAGGGGTCTTCAAACTTGGCCCTTTTATGAAGCTCTGACTGCTCCTTCCATTCCCCACCATCTAATCAGAGCTGAAGAAGCTTCTGGGATGAGAAGCGAAACGTCTTCAAAGAAAAAACAAGAAAGTCCAGTTGCCTCCTCAAAAAAAGCACCCTTGGGACAACCCTGACTTGGATGATGGAGAACCTCCATAGACATTTAGCGATGCACTTTGGGATGAATCCCTTTCGAAGGGTGCAGGGATATGAACGGATTTCCAGAAAACATTGCAGACCCCAGGAACCATTTGCGCTTCAGTTTTGAGATGGAGAAAACGCAGACTCGTCCCCAACAGCCTGCGCCTGTCTCCAACAGTGAAGGCACCCAGGGCAGAAAAACATCCTGCAACTGTCGTTGAGGCCACTTGGAGGTTTGTCTGTGACCTCAGGGTCCCCTGAGTGGGTGGGTGTGGAGCCTTCTTGGAAGTGCTGACAACACCCTCCTTTCAGCAGTCCCAAGAAGGCTCCACAACCATTTGCGCCACTCAGGGGACCCTGAGGACACAGTTAAAACCTCCAAGTGGCCTCAACGACCTTCTAAAAGGATGCAAATGACCAGCTGTCTGCAAGGAGTATAAATCCTTCCATTCGCCATCCTCCAAGTGGCCTCAATGACTCTAAAAGAAGGCAAAGGACCAGCTGTCTGCAAGGAGGATAAATCCTTCCATTCCCCACTATCCAGTCAGAGCTGAAGAAGCTTCTGGGATGAGAAGCGAAACGTCTTCAAAGAAAAACAAGAAAGTCCAGTTGCCTCCTGAGAAAGCACCTTTGGGACAATTAGGGGTTAAGCTGTTGGCCATTGTACCAATTGACTGCTTATTGATTTAGCTGGTGCCAACCCATCTTGAAGTAGCGCCAGCCCGTCCGATCGTTGCAAACCAGTTGTGAAATGGGATAACCACGTCTAGTGAGGGACGAAGGATGGAGAGCTCCTTCAGCGTGGTTTAGCAAAATCCCAATGGGTCCCAGTGCCTGTCAACGGGCGCAGAATAACACGCTTCCACCTGCCCTCTCCCACAACTTTTTTTTTAAAAATAACCCAATCAGGACCCACTGAACAGGGCCAGAAGCATTTTAGGGAAAGATCAGGAAAGGGTGGGAGGCAGGATGGGCCCAAGGCTCTTCATTTGAGGGATCTGCTGGAAGTTAACACTCTTCTCCCCTCCTGTAACACCGACTTTGAGGAATGACGTACCCTCCCTATGCAGGGGACATTATGAGTGCAGGGGAAATTCTGTCTCGGCCTTGCCAGGCCCCTAGTCTTTGGGGCGAGATTGGCATTGCCTGCAAAGTTTACCAGCTGAAGATGTATCACCGTGCACAAAATCTCCCTGTCTCTAGGGCAATGAAAAAAATAATAATAAAAGAGGCAAGCCATTTGAACAAGGGGGTGTGAAATGAGCCCCTGATCCTTTTGCTTAATCTTGTTGCTTTTAAGTCTAATTGCTCCCTGGGGAGGTGAGGTCAGGGCTGGGGGGGACTATATACAATAGGAGTGGATGGGCACAGTCACGGCTAATATAGGATTTCTCCCCCTCTCCGAGGCTTCAAGGAGACGTAATCCACTTCCCTTTGGATTTACGGAACAGATTAGCGTGAAGACAAGCTGAAAACCGAACGGAATCCAATTTTATTTAAGGGTAAAAGCAAGAGCTGGATTTGCGACTGCGGAAAGCTTTTCAACTATCTGAAAAGCCACGTTCTGGGAGAACGAGACCACGGTGCTGGGGATTTAGGAAAGATGGTGTCTTGTCCCTTCGGTGGAATTGGCGGCTGTTCCTGCCCTGATGACCTGAGTCCTTTTTAGAAAACTCAGCTGGGCTGGTCACTCCAGAAGCTCTCATAGGAGAACCTCCAGACCAGTGTTTCTCAAGCTTGACCATTTTAAGGCATGTGGGCTTCAACTCCCAGAATTCCACAGCCAGCATTGCTGGCTGTGGAATTCTGGGAGTTGAAGTCCACATGCCTTAAAACGGTCAAGCTTGAGAAACACTGCTCCAGACAGAACTTATTAGGTAAGACAGGTGAAAATGTCCACCAGAGAAAACAGACTGAGATCCAGGAAGTTGGATGGATGGCCTTCCCAAGTCCCTACAAATGCTTCTATTTTTAGGGCAGCAAAACAAGGAAATTATTATGCGGACAATCATACGAAGTCTACCCCAAAGGTGTTTTTTCAAGAGGCAACTGGACTTTCTGGTTTTTCTTTGAAGACGTTTCGCTTCTCATCCCAGAAGCTTCTTCGGCTCTGACTGAATTGGTGGGGAAATGGAAGGATTTATACTCCTTGCAGACAGCCGGTCATTCACATCCTTTTAGAGAGTCGTTGAGGCCACTTGGAGCTTTGTCTGTGTCCTCAATGGTGCTTTTTCAACTGGACTTTCTTGCTTTTCTTTGAAGACCTTTCACTTCTCATCCCAGAAGCTTCTTCAGCTCTGACTGGATGGTGGGGAAGAGAAGGATTTATACTCCTTGCAGACAGCTGGTCAGTTGCATCCTTTTAGAGAGTCACTGAGGCCACCTGGAGCTTTGTCTGTGTCCTCAGGGTCAGCTGAGTGGTGCAAATGGGTGTGGAACCTTCTTGGAACTGCTGAAAGGACTCTGTGGTAGACTGGAGATAGATGATGTCCTATCCCTCCCCTTCTGTTGACGGAGGGCTGTTCAGTTTTGACCTAGATGGCCTCTTTGACCCCTCTTTCAAACCAGCGGTCCTCTCTGTCCAAAATGTGGACTTTGCTCTCTTCAAAAGAACGGCCTTTGTCTTTTAAATACAACACAGTTCCAAGAAGGCTCCACACCCATATTCTATTCTATTCTATTCTATTCTATTCTATTCTATTCTATTCTATTCTATTCTATTCTATTCATATTCATATTCATATTCTACTTTCCATATTCTATTCTATTCTATTCTATTCTATTCTATTCTATTCTATTCTATTCTATTCTGTTCTGTTCTGTTCTGTTCTGTTCTATTCATATTCATATTCTATTCTACTTTCCATATTCTATTTTATTCTATTCTACGTTCCATATTCTATTCTATTCTATTCTATTCTATTCTATTCTATTCTATTCTATTCTATTCTATTCTATTCTATTCTATTCTATTTTCCATATTCTATTCTATTCTATTCTATTCTATTCTATTCTATTCTATTCTATTCTATTCTATTCCTATTCTATTCTACTTTCCACATTCTATTCTATTCTGTCCTGTCCCATCCTATTCTTTACGTATCCTATTCTTTACGTATTCTATTCTGTTCTGTTCTGTTCTGTTCCCACTGACTGTAAATGTGAACAATCTCTTGTTTTGGTGGAGAAGTCTGTGACAGAAAGAAGAGAGAAGTCGAGGGGAAAAAAGGGAGTACCATTTCCATGAATTTCAAAAGTGCCTCCTTGTTCTCTTGCCACAGTTTATACAGCTCATCAGCCAAAGGGAACTTCTCGCATCCAAGCTCCAAGGTAATTTCAAAACAGTTTGTGTGGAGATAATTAAAATCTGCCATTCCTGGAAAAAGAAGAACACTAAAAGGCTGATCAATCGATACCTTTTAAGCGTGTCTTTATCCAAACTATTTTTAAAATGGGAACAATAAAATTAGGAAACAATTCTGAATGGTAAGCGGCATAACATTAGTAGCATACACAGTTCACTCACAAACAAATAAAAATTAAAGCACGGGTGGATATGTCTCATCTTCAGGGCGTGCTGTAGATGGATAATGCTACCCAATCTACCACATCAGAGCAGCTGAGATTGTGCATCTGAATGGCGGAGTTACAAATTGTACATCAACAACGCACGTTGTGTAGAAGATCTTCTGACTACCTGCATTTAGGTTTTAAAAAGAGTGTCGGGCACACACCACGGGGGAATAAATTTACACCGCCAACTGGTATTCAAGAACGATTCAAAAATAAGCTAAGGCTGGCTTAAATCACACCCAGTTCCAAATGGGCATACAGGTGGTCCTCGGCGTATGAGCACAACGGAGACCAAAATCATGTGATGCTGCAATCCGTCATAAATATGAGTCAGTGGCCAAGCGTCTGAATTCGGATCACGTGACCGCAGGGATGCGGCAATGCACGTTAGTGTAAAAAAAGGGTCCTAAGTCCCTTTTTTCAGAGCTTTGAACGGTCACAAAATGTACTGTTGTAAGCAGTGCTTTTTTTGTAAAAAAAAAAAAAAAAAAGAAAGGTGCCGGAACTCACACACGTCATACAACCCGCCTTGCCTACCCTACAAGGTTCCATCCCAAAAAGGTGCCGGAACTCCGGTCTGGGCGTTCTATGAGAAAAAAAAGCCCTGGTTGTAAGTAAGGATTATCTAGAACAGATGCCACAAATAAGACACGCACACCCAACGCCTTCAGAGCCAGGTCAGGAATCAGCTGGATCGCTGCAAACACGCAGACAACGGCACCAGCCGTGGGCCAGGCTCAGCCAAGCAGGGGACCCTCCAGTTGAAGGTCTCTTTTTTTAGGCAAGCGTCTACAACAGAGGACCGCCCAACCTTTGGGGCAACAGGGACCGCTTCCGTGGAGGGAGGTTTTTCCACGGACCGGAGAGTGCGTGGTTTTGTGTGCTGCCTGCATCCCGCGGATGGGGCTTTTGCTTATTTTGTGCGGACCGGTTGTTGGCCTGGTACCGGTTCACAGACCGGGGGTTGGGGACCCCTGATCTACAAAACATTTGGGGTTTTTTTTCCCTCCCTTCTGAGGTCATCAGAAAGTTTCCTGCTGCACTTGATTAGTCCTCCTTTGCGATCATCGTGAGGCTGGTTTTGCTGTCTGCCCAAGACGTCGGAAATGGAGTTGGTGGGTCGCAGGCTCTCGTATGCAGCAGCCAGACTGTCTTTTGGTTCGGGGGGGGGCTTGTAAATTATGCATGCCTGCATTAACGCGGCCAGCAAGACATATGGGTTTTTCGATGGCTATGGCTCCACCGAGGTAGCCCCCGTTTTTAAGTGGTAGGTTCTCTCGCTCACTTACGGAGCGATGACGTGCGCTTCCCCCCTTCTCCAGGCGTTTCCCTCCTACGGCCACTTAGAAAAGAGACATCAACCTGTTTGCAGAACAATATATATATATATATATATATATATATATATATATATATATATATATATATATATATATATATATATATATATATATATATATATATATATATATATATATATATATATATTTTTTTTTTTTTTTATTTTTTTT